CATAAAAAGAGTTGTTTGACTTTGCCCATGAGTCTGCAGGGTGCCAGTGGCATAGCCTAAACCTCTCAATCCCAGTTCAGCTGCAGGTCTGGAACAGTCTGGCCCCTGCAAGCACTGACAGTAGTTATTATGCAGCTTTCCAAAGGGATATGTGAGTGGCAAGAAGATCATTGCTACTGGCATTGTCCTTGGAGCTCTTCCATGCCAGGAAATGCACACAGAACATCTTCACCGTCCGGTTTAACCAGGATGATGAGCACCCGGATCTGAGCACTTGAGCTAGCCTTGTCTCAGCTTGACCGCAGCAGGAGCTGTGTAACCATGTCCTCCCCATTTCTACACTTGCCTCTGTATGTCTGTGACTTGTCCCGTAACCTTGTGTGCCAAGATGCTTTGGGCTCTTTCCCACAACTGCCGATTTTGCCCTTCAGGGGGAACTGTGGGAAAGACATTGGAAGGTTGCTGGCACTTAAGTGATCTTTGACCATATCTTCATTAGGGAGTGAGGAGGTTTGAAATAGCCACGGTTGGGGTGGGGGGGGAAGTGGTCCAACCTTGCTCTCCCAGCTGTGTAAGCTTGCACTAATGGTTTGCATTTGGTAACTCCTGGTGCTGGATTTTGTACCAAGGAAGCTAGGAGCTCAGGTTAGTGATGCAGTGGGCACCCACTCCTCCAAAGAGCCCCTGCTGTGGCCAGCTTCCAACAGCGTGTCCTTTGTGATTTTGGTACCTGGGAGAGTAACTTGGAAACGCAGCAAAATTACGCTCCATGTCAGCGACAGAGCTGGGAAGGGAACTGAGACCTCCTTCCGTGACAGATCCATGAGATCAAGCGCTCTGATCATAAAGCAAAATGCAAACGCAAGAATAAATAAACCTTTCTTAATCCGATCAACCTGGTTATTCTTGAATCCCATAAAATAACTGCCAGTGGGGTTGCTTGAGAAGAGGTTGCTATAAACATGACTTATAAGGAGGGGACATCCAAACTTTGTGCAACCCAGTGATTGCACTGGCAGTTTTCCAGGATCCCCACGGGCTGCTGCTAATTGGCATAAAATTAAGCAGGTTGCAGCCACCCTCATCTTTAATACAAAGAGAGGGCCCCCGGGAGGCTACAGGTTCCAGCCTGTGGCCGCTCACATCACGAAGGAGCACAGCACGCTGGGACGCGTAGTCTCCCTGGGCCCTTTCTCCCTGTTGACAAAGGTCTGGGGAAGCTGCAGGCCGAATGGGGACACCTTTGCAATGGTTTGACCACCCACCCCCCTCTCAAAAAAAAAAAAAAAACCCAAACCCAAAGCAAATATGGCTTTGGTTAAGTTCATGGACTGTTAATCAGCATTCACGAGATTTAAAAATAAAAAAAACCAACAAACATAATTTCCTCCCTCTCTCCTCCGCCCAGAAGCAGACTACTGGTAGAAACTGAAGCTGGAAAAAATAGTTGAAAGTCAGCTAAAGTCACCTTGGTAACTGCAGCAATACACTTGCCCAGAACAGGAGACATCAAACCCAACTACAAACAGCTTTAAAGAAACAAAAAGAATGTAATCATCTAAAGAATTAATCTGACAACTGCCCACGTTTACACCTCCCACAAGCTCCCAATCAGAGGGAAATGCGCTTTAATCTCCTCCAACTCCCCTCCAGTTTCACAAAACATGAGATGTGCAGTCCTTAAACTGGGGCATTTCCGGCATGCTGCTTCCATTTAAATCTACTGCCTTTCCTAACGCAGCAGCCCTGGCTTTTGCAGACTTGTTTTTTCTGGACACTGGGAAACATGAATTTTTTTGTGTGGGTTGGATGAAGTATTAAATCTGGAATAGACAAAGTTTGCAACATTTTACGTGATAGTCAGCTAGATCTTAGTCATAACAAATAAAACTCCACTGGCTTTTGCTGATGATTTATTTGGTGATGGGGTGGAGGAAGCAAAAGCTTACGGGTAACTGACAGTCGTAAAACCAGGGATGTTAGTGTTAGATAGCAAACTTTTTCTACATTTTCTTCTGAGGCTGAAAACTACAAGCTGTGGATGGCGGTGTGTGTTATGATGTGAACTTTTTATTAATAACAACCTAGAAGTCCCGCCGACCCTTCATCTGGGCCATCACCCTTTGGAAGGGTCGGCACAAGGATTTCCAGTCCCAAAGGGAGAATTTTAATGGGTCTTGCAGAGTCCCTGTGTCATGCGACATGTTCCAGAGTCTGAAAGTGATGGCACTGTGGCCTTGTGTTATCCACAGTCCACAGCATGTGCAGAAGTGCCCACCACACAAAACACTGGTTTACAAAGGTATCGCTGAGATAGAAGGTTATTTGGTTTCTGTTATTGGAGTTTCGCCCTTAACTTTCAATAGCTGAAATTGTGTGAGCTCCACTAAAGTGAAACAACAAACACAGAGACCGTGACTATTTTGGAAAAGTTTGGTGGAAAGGATTAATAATTTCATGTCATTCAAAGTATTAACTACCATTTTGCTTCACTCCTTCACCTTTTTGACAGAAGGGCTGGTTACTTATTAATGTGAAGTCATAATTATTGACAGCCTTAAAGTCATGACAGTTCCGTTTGATAGTTATACATTAGTCAACATCTTCTCTTGAGCATGTAATGACAAACAGCATTTGCTGGTTTTAATAATACGTAGAAAGCTTTGCCCCTTGCCTCCAGAATATTGTCGTCATTCCTATTATTGCATTAACAACCAGAGGCTGTTTCCCCTCAGGACCACGGCCCCATTGTACTAGCAGCTGTACTGGCTAACATGGTGGAAACCCAAAAACCCACCTTCAGCTGGGGGGCTTTGAAGCCCAGGGGTACGGGGAACTGTCCTGAGGCTGTCTGTCCTTCCGAAGCATGAACCTACAGTAGCGACTGCCTGGGAGGCTGTGTTATGGGACGTGCCTGGCACACTTAGGCAGTCCAGGTGAGGAAGGCGCAGTCTCTTGTCTGTAGCAACATGGCTGTAAAACTCCTGGTCTGCTCCAGGGTGCGTAAACTCTGGAACTGCATTTAATGAGTGCAAGCTTATGGCCTGCTTGAAAACCAGGCATTGCTAATGGCTGACCCTTTTGGTAGGGATTGATAAATGAATGATTGGAAGCGGTAGACCACAGGCTGACTTTCCCACAGCTCACTGTGTATATAAGATCTGATAAGGAAGTTGAGGCAAAGCTTAGCTTAAGGTCAACTGATCATTAATCAACTGTAACTGCACTTCTCAGGTAATCAGCCTGCAAAATGCTGGCCCACTCTGCTCTTTGAAGACTCCACCTACAAAGAGCTGTAAAATGTTTGCTGAAGTAGATTAAACACAGCTTTAAGTGCCACCTATAGACTACAAAGCATGTTGTGTCTTTGCTTCAGGGTTAACCCACCAGAGTGATGCTCTGCTGACTGTCAGTCCATCAGCCCACCCCATGCATAAGCTGTATCCTGACCTGCTGGGTCCATTATTGCTTTTGTGTGGTGCTAAGGCAGAACATGGGACATGTTTTACAGGTTTTTTTTTTATCTAGCAGGGAGCTGAGCTGCTCTGATTTCTTTTCCTGCACGTCTCTGACCTGGCCATGCAAGGTATTTGCAGGAAGGCATGTTGAGGTATCAGTTCAGCTTGTATCCTCATTTCAGAGCAGGCAGCTCAGCAGCCTGGGTGAAAGGCTCACCTGGGACTAGGTGACCTGGCAGAGGGAATCAGTTGATCTGCTTTGGAAGCCACACTGAACTGTGTTACTATGTGTGTGGTGGATGGGAGTAACTTTGGGACAGCACCCAAATGTAAAATCAAGTAGAGGTGTGATCTAAGTCAGCTCATGAGGGTCAAGCTGTTTCTTTACAATTATTTCCAGATGTATGTTAAAGATGGCTCCGTTTGGGTGGAGGAAGGATCCAGGCTTGTTTTAACAGTGTTCCCAAATGGAGCCACCACGTGATAGCTTTGTTTGGCTTTTGGTCTGTCTGGCACGATGGAATCACATTGCACTATGGCATCTTTCAGCTCCCTCCTGCTCTCCCCGTCCCCCTCCTCTGGTGATTCTGTAATATAGAAACTATCTTAACCAAGTCTTACCTCTACTAAGTTAATGTGGAACGCTAGGTCACATAAAATGTAAATCACATATCACATTAGTCCATGTCATCTGCAAAAATCGTAATCACCCCATCCTTCATTCTTTGTTCTGGCCTATCAAATAAGGGTTTACAATGATGCTCTTTGAACATATAAAGTGTTTATGGTCAAATATTTTGAGATATACCAGGATTCTGTCTGGCAAAGTTCCTAATCATGCAACAAACATAACCTTTGGTCATAGCTTCACAATATGCTGGCCTTGCAGAAGTGAATGAATAAATAAGAAAGCAAAGCTGCATTGTCTTAAAGCAGCCCCACTTCCAAGGGAAAGCAATCTGCTGATGTCCTGCTTGTCACCTTTAGAGTCCATCTTTTGGCTGTTGCACTTGATGCTGGTGGAAGCGGAATGTTCTCAAAACTTTTTGGTTGAACTGTGGAAAAGTTATTTGGAGGCAATTGTAAGGATGCCTCAGACCTCAAAGATACTTGAGCAAGGGCACAAGGGACTTGGACAACTCTTTCCTGCAGGCCACTGCCTAAAAAATCCTGAAGTTAGAGCAAAAGCAGGAGGGAGGGCACACCTAAAAATTCTTCCAAGCCATTTTCTAGTGGTTTGGGGTTTTGGAGAGCATAGTTTTGCTCCTGTTCTCCCCAGAAATTTTATTTCTTATATGCTAGGAAAGGATGCACCAATTCAGATCCTAGGTCATCAAATCAAGGTGAAGAGCTACATGCTGTGACCGGTCTGAGGGAGGCCGCATCTGTAGGGGTGATGAAAACTCAGCTGTGTCTTCGTAACAGTTTGCTCTTGTGCCCTTCAATATTTGCGCAATTGCCCTGAAATGCATCAGAAATAGCACACAGCACTGGGATGTAAATATATATATATTTATATATGCATTTTGTCTCTTCCCTTAGAAGCCGTAAGGACAGTTTAGAAAGCGAGAGCTCAGCAGCTATCATTCCTCATGAGTTAATCCGCACGAGACAGCTGGAGAGCGTACACCTGAAATTTAACCAGGAGTCCGGAGCTCTCATTCCCCTCTGTCTAAGGTGAGTGAAGCCGTCCTCCTCCTCAGCTTGTGCTAACATGCCGCTTTTGCCTTGTGGCATTGTTTCACCATACAGACATGCATGCAATGGGTCTTTAAAGGCCAGAGCTGAGATATTTTGCCAGAACACATTAGAAACAGATGATTCTTTGCATGTGTGTTCATCGTGGTAAGATTGTTTCTCATTCTTTTTATGTCCTCCAGTGTATTTTGAGTGCTGAAATAGGACAGGGTTAGTAGAGGGATTTTTTTATTAGTCTAATGCTGGCAACTCTGTGATAAAGAAGGGTTGTTTTACTGTATTCTGTCAAAGAAAACTCTTAAGTTGTTAATTCTGGCTTACGGACTCAGACACAAGTGGTTGTGCAAAGCCTGTTTGCAGTCAGTTTATGCATGCAAAAGTGTTTTTTAGACAAATTATGTCACTTGCATGATTGAAGGAACAAGACATTTTGTGCATACTCTGCACATTGTCTTTTGAAGGTTCAGGCTGTGCATACCACTGTAAGTGACTTTTCTAGGTTTCCACAGTTTCAGTCAGCACTATTTTTAAAAATACCTGTGGCAAATGTAGCCTTTAGCATAAAGACAAACTGTGAGGTAGAGGCGAATGATTGCAGGTGGTTGAGTTACTTTAGCTTAATGAGTTACCTCTGTAGTATCAGAGTTAGCAGCAGCAGGTGCACACTCGCCTGTGCCAGTTGAGAAACCAATGGGGTAGTTAACATGAAGATACTTTATTTTACATCACAAATGCGTGAGCAGTCTGTCCCGTCAGTTACCACAGCTCAGCTGACCAGCAGTAACTCATCAGGCAACTGTGACTCTGTTAGGTGCTATATATCTTACCTAAAGTTTCCCCCTTGCATGTTGGAAGCCATGCATGTGTGTCACACATGCTCTGAGCCTAAATACCAGAGCCATGATTTTCCCTGTGGAAAGCACTGAATGAAAAAAAAGGAAGGAATACCATAGATGGTCATGTATGTGTATTTTCTAGGCATTTCCTTGAGTAATACAGGTTACATTTGTCAAGCACTAGGGAAATGGATTACTACATATTGTTAGGGTAGGTAAGTTTGGCCCCAGCAATGAGCCTGCTTAGAAATGCATCTTCACATTCCCACGTGATGTGGAGTCTGGATTCTCTTCTAGTGTTTTCATCTTACTGAAAGACTGGCAGTCCTCTGCCCTTACATACATCAGCACCTTGTCGTGGGGATAGGCATGCAGCGGGATTTAGAGATACTCTAGTTTTGTAACAAGGCCCTAAGATTAAGGGGGGACATAAGGGGAAACTCCCTGCCTGAGGAGGAGGCTTGTGACCTGCTTTGTGGAACAAATCATTCATATATTCCTGAAAAAATAATAGTTGCTGCCTTCAAGATGGTTTCCCATGCTGATGGCAGAAGCTGTATTGTTCTGTTGAATGCTGCTCACACCCTCTCAGTTCACATATGTATGTTTTATTCCCCAGGGGAAGGCTTTTACATGGACGGCACTTTACATATAAAAGTATTACAGGGGATACAGCAATCACGTTTGTATCAACGGGAGTAGAAGGAGCCTTTGCTACAGAAGAGCACCCCTATGCAGCACACGGACCTTGGTTACAAGTGAGAGCGCCTCCTTCCTTTTTCTCCTCCTTCCTCCTTTACTGTCTCCTAAAAATGATCCTGCTAAGGGCTTACATGGTTAAACAGTGTAACAAACCTGTATTTTCTGCTGCAACATCTCTCATAGCTCTTGTGTAATATTTTCAGTAATTATGGACTCAAAAAATAATGGTGTACTGTTATTATTTATATTAATGGAACTCAAATTGATAAGCAGTGGCTGGAAAGTTCAAAAATCATCTGTGAATACAGTAGTGCCCATTTCTTGGAATCAGCGAACACTTTACAGGCTGTATTTACTCTTGATTTTTTCCAGAAAGGAATTTGGGGAGGCAGAGTGGAATGACCTAAACAAGAATGGAGCCAGGGCGGAAGAGCTAGAAAGCTGTGGGACTGTGATCCTACAGAGCCAAGATCTCAGTTTTACATCATCCCTAACAGGAGAGCAGCACAGAGAGCACAGCTTCTTTCAGTTTTAGCTCTTTCCTATTGATTCTTTGACAAAAGCTCGTCGTTGCTTGAAGCACCCACACATTTTCTGCACCCAGATTTTTTCTGTATCAACAGATTTTCCTTGGAAACTCCCCATCTGCTTGGTGCTGAGGGTCAGCCCTACAGAGCAGTGATGCACTAATGATATGAAGGCGTAGCGCTATTATAACCTTAAATTCTTCATGGTTATAAACATATTGCGAAAAGAAAAAAGCTCTGGGGAATGTGTTTATTCAGGAAAGCCCATCTCAGAGGGACTACATGCATGCAGTACGTCTCTGCATTCGCTCTTACTGTGGCATTCC